TTACCAGAAAGTGCGGCACCGCCTCAACGACGACTGGGCCTACGGCAACGGTACATCCTGGCATCCCTGGCATCCCTGGCATTCCCAGCCCTCCTGCTCCAGGGTCTCTGCCCCGAGCTCCAGCTCACCTTTTGCTGCCTGGGGTTTGGGCAGGTGTGCTGGGTTGACCTTGGTGGACCTTGGCTGGTTGAGCTTGACCAGGTGCCCACCGAGCTGCTCTGTCCTTTCCCAGCTGGACAGGGCAGAGAAAATCAGGTGGGGAATGACTTGTAGGTTGAAATAAGGTAGGTTAGCACAGCAAGAGCAGAAAAAAAAAAAAGGTTTGTTCTCTACTTCCCATCAGCAAGTGATGTTCAACCACTTTGGGGAAGCCAGGCTGCAGCACGTGGAGTGGCTGGTCTGGAAGGCACATGTTTTAAAGTACAAATGCCCCATCATTCCTCTTCCTTTTCTTAGCTTTCATATCTGATCTGACATCACAGAATCTGGAATATTCCCTTGGCTAATTTGGCTCAGCTGGCCTTTGTCCCCTCCTAGGATCTTGTCCACTTGCACACATCTGTTGCCACACTTGATGGGGTGGCAACGTTGGGAGATAGTGCTGGTGCTGTGCCAGCTCTGCCCAGCAGAGCCAGGATACTGGTGTATTCCCAAAATCTTCCCAGCTCCCACTGCAGAGTCACTGGCAGGATTCCTATGGAAAAACAAATTCCATCTGAGCCAGACACAATCCAGCAGGTCTGGGGTGTGGGAGGGTTTTTGGGGGGTGACATTGCAGGGATCAGGGCTCTGCCAGGGGTGTCAAGTCTTGGCTGAAAACCCTTTTTGGCCTAAATTGGGCTGGAACAGCAGGTTTGGTGCCTTCCTGAGGGGGTCTGGGTACCCCACTGGGGTGTCCCCTGCCCACCATCAGGATGTGGGAGCTGGGACAGGGTGGCAGGGCAGTTTTGGGGGGTTTTGTTTTGGCCCAGGAATGTCCTTTGGGGTGTACCAGCATTTGCTGGTGAGGCCAAAGGGAGCCCCCATTCCTGGTTTCATTTTGATTGTTTCCCTGTGGTGGGGATGTTGGAAGTGGTGGTGGAGCTGTTGGTGGCTCTGAACTTTGTTGGAAGTACCTACAAAGACCTTTTCCAAGGAGGGGCCTGGGTGTGTATAGGTTGTTGGGAAGAGACAGAACCAAATGATATTCCTGGGATATAGGAAGGAATATATTCCAAAGAATATTCCATCATGCTCAGAATATAAAGTGGAGAGAAAAAGGAGGAATTGGGGATGTTGGGAGTGATGGGGTTTGTTGTCCAAGTCACCATTCCCTGGGGTGGGGCCCTGTTCTCCTGAATGTGCTGAGCACCTGCCTGCTTGTGGGAAGTAGGGAATTAATTCCTTGTTTTTCTTTCCTTGTGCTGCACAGCTTTTCCTTTCTTTATTAAGCAGTGTTTATCCTAACCCACCAGTTCTCCAGCTTTTTGCCCTCCTGATTCTTCCCTGCTCTGCTGGTGGGGGAGTGAGCGAGCGGCTGCATGGGGCTCAGTCTGGCTGGGGTTAAACCTGCACACCGAGGGCTTTGGGCTGGCTGAGGAGTGCCCAGCTCTGCTCTGACCACTCTCATCCCCGTTCCCAGACCTGGACGCCCGTCCCTGGGATTTCCAGGCCGAGGAGTGTGCCCTGCGTGCCAGCATCGAGCGCTTCAACTCGCGGCGCTACGACCGCGCCCACGGCAACCCCGACTTCGTGCCCGTGGACAACTGCCTGCAGAGCGTGCTGGGCCAGCGCGTGGACCTGCCCGAGGAGTTCCAGCTCAACTACGACCTGTGGCTCGAGAGGGAGGTCTTCTCCCGGCCCATCTCCTGGGAGGAGCTGCTGCAGTGATGGACACAGGGAGGCGGGATGGGCTGCGTGGAGAGCTGGAGGCTGGCAGGGCAGGGCAGCGAGGTCTGGGGGTCTGTGGGTGGCTGCGCTGTTGTGGTGGGCTTGGGAAGAGGATGGAGCTGGGGGATCTTTGCTGAGACCACGTCCTGCCCCTCTGCCTCCTTCCAGGCTCGTCCCAAAGCTGAGGGTGCCCTGAGGGTTTCCTGTTGGGTGGGGGATCTCTGCCCACCCCGTGTGCTGCTTTCAGAGGCACCACCCTTCTCGTGCCCCCCAGGCAAGAAGGGGGAGCAGGTGGCAGCGTGGGAGTGGGGTCCATGGGTGGGACACCAGGCTGGTCCTGCCCAGCCCCTCTGGGGGGTTAGGGGGCCTGTGGGGGCTTGAGGGGCTGGGGTGGCCTCCCCTCACCCCACAAGGGGTGCAGGAGCTGTACATATATTATATATATTTGGTGATACCTCTGCCCCGAGTGTGGCTGGGTTCATGTCCCTGTTCCTCCTTCCTGGAGTTGGGCTGGGATGAGAGTTCCTCATCCTTGTCCCCACTCATCCCTCAAACCCCAGGGGGTACATGGCCCCTCACCAGCAGGTTTAGTCTTTCCTTGCAGCCAGGTTTGTGGGTTGGGGGAGCAGGTTCTTGCAGGCATTTCCCTGTCCCATTCACTGAACCCTCCCCCAGCTCTGTCCTGGGATTTCTGACACCACTGTGGTGTCACCACTGGGATTTTCTTTGGTCCCTGCTTCCAGCAGAGGATCCAGACACCAAATCCTGCCAGAGCTCAGCTTTGCACATTGCCTGGCCTCAGTTTCCCTGGCAGAGGGGCAGCAGCAGCTCTGGGGACTGAAATCCTGGGGGATTCACCCTGATCTGAGGCAGGGATTTGCAGAGATGTTTGTGGGCAGAGGGAGCCTGGGACAGCACCAGTTCCACCCATCATCTGCTGGGATTCTGAGCCTATGGAGCTCCAGGAGTAAATGCAGCTGTGGGGATGCTCAGCCCCAGCCTGGAAGCAGCAAACTCAGCCTTATGAGCCATCAGAGAAGTTCTGTGGACACAGCATGGGTGGTAACATGCCTTTAATCCATGCCTGGAGCTGTGCCCATCCTGCCCTCTTCCCCCTCAGCCAGGGGTGACATGGAGCTGGAGGCCTGGACCCATCTGGGTGCCCAGTGCTGCACCCTGACCCCGTGGGCAGCACAGAGCCAGGCTCTGGATGCCTCCAGGAGAGGCACAGAGAAGGAAATGCTGCCCTGGCTTGGTTTAATGACGAGTAAAACTCTACCAGAAATCTCTGCTCAGCCTGAACCTGCTCAGGACACTGTAAACCCACGCAGCAAAGCTCCCTCAGCTCCATCAACATCACTTTGCACCCCAGTAAACCCCTGAACACGGTTTAGAGGGAAACACCGTGGTGCTGCTGGGCTGGGATGATCCCAGAGGGCTTTTCCACACCCAAGGACTGCAGCACTCTGATTGTGGCTGGGATATTCAGCAGCCCAAACCTCATTCCTTATCCCGTGTTTCAAGGGAGCAAATCGGGTCCTGGCAAATCCAGCTCTCCGTGGAAGACAAATGGATTTTATCCTCCCTAGGACAGAGGTTTTTAAATGGGGATTTCTGGGGCACTTTGGATTTTCTTACCGCCCTCCTCAACCACAGAGCACTGCTGGATGTGCCCCCAGGCTCCTGCCAGGATTGCACCCTCCCCTGGCACCCACCTGGGTGCCTCCAGCACCATCCTGCCCCCAAACCCCATTCCCAGCACCAGAACAGGCCTGAGGAGCCTGGTGGGAGTCTCCATCCCAGCCCCCCTGGCATTATAGGGCTGCTGGAGCCATAATTAACGTATGAAAAATGTGGTTTATTGTTTAGAAATGAATAACAAAACCCCCACCGGTGGGAGGGGTGTGAGATGTCCTGGTGAGGGTGGGCAGCCCTGGGTGCCTCCTGTGGCACCCAGGCTGTGCCCAGGGTGCCAGGGCTTGGCTGAAAACCTTGGGGTTTCCCAGACTGGGCTGGAACAGGGTTTAGTGGCTCCCCGAGGGGATCCAGGTGCCCCACAGGGGTGTCCCCCCAATCAGGATGTGGGGCTGGGGCAGGGGGGCATTGCAGATTTTGCAGGAGGGGGTTTGGCCCAAGAGAGTCCCCAGGGCTGGACCAGCATCTCCCGGTGCTGGGGTGAGCAGGGTCATTCCTGGCTTCATCTTTTGGTGTTTCCCTGCAGTGGGGGAGGTCACGGTGGATGAAAGGGGGGACAGGACACGCCAGCTCTTAGGGGGACTCAGGGAACCCATCCAGGGACCCCCAGTACAGATAATCCACGTTGGATACGATGAGGTGCCCCATCCCCCGAGACTGGCCTTACAGATACCAGCAGTAACGTGCAGGACCCTACAAAATGCAGAAACCCCTCCCCAAATCACCCATTTGTGCCCCAACACCCCAGCTGGAGCACCTGGGAGGGTTTTTTAATCCTGCTGGGATTAAAACTCCTCCCTGAGGGGTAACAGGGTGACCCCCCCAGGGAAACAGCCTTTAATTTGGGATGCTTTATTGTGCCAGGGCCTTATTTCTCTCCAGGAGGGAGCAGAACGAGCTGTGATGCTCTGGGGGAGGCTTTGGGGTTCCTTGGCCGTGCTCCCAGTAACCCCCAGTACCAGCAGCTGTCCCAGTCCAGTCTTCCCAGTATGGCACTGGGAGAGGAAGAGCCCAATTTCTGCCATTGCTGGTTGTGCTGGGCAGGACATGAGCAGCCGAACTTCAGGTGGGGAGGGGAGAATGGCCCCCAAAACTCCGCTGCCCTGGTGCTCCACAGTCCCTCCCCAGCCCCACGCACGGCCGGCAGTGCCCGGCTCGGGTGGGGTGGGGGAACCACCGGGGATCTCCATCCGAGCCAGTCCCCGAATGCTGGGAGGGCTCAGGTCGCCGGGACAGCCCTTCCCGGGGTCCGAGCAGCCGGTGCTGGGGTTTGGGGGCGCCCCTTTCTCCTCGCCGGGCCCCTCTCAGCGGGGTGGGGGCAGCTCGGGCCGTGCGGAGAGGGGGTGCGGGGGACCCCAGCAGCCCGCCCCACCGCTGCTGCCGGGGGTGGGCGATGCGCTGGGGGGACCAGGGCTCCGCGTCCATCCCGCGGGGGATCATGTAGCCCAATTCAGGAGGCTCCCGGGCCCCTCTTTGCTCTTCATCCTCAGCGGCATCACGCTGGGCGCTTTGTAGTGGTGCTGGGCGGGCGGCTCGAAGGGGCGGGGGGCCAGCCCCGGCGGGGGCAGCCCGGGCAGGGAGTAGAGGCTGCTGATGCCCGGGTGGGGGCCCGGGGACGCGGGGATGCCCACGAAGCCGCTGCTGGCAGCGGGGGGGTACGGGGACATGCAGGGGGACGGGATGCTCTCGGGGGGCAGCAGCCCCGGGGGGCTCCCAGGGCTCGGCCACAGGTTGTTCTGCAGCTGAAATAACGACAACAACAACAAAAAAAAAGCCCAAAAATGAGGTTGGGGACATCACGGCCCGCTCAGTGTCCTCCCATTCTGCCTTAGATCCCACTGCCCTCCTTCAGGATTCCTCTTAGCCCACCTATGATCCTTCTCAGCCCTGATCCCCCCCACCCACAGGTGCAAAGGGAGCGATGCCTTTGCTCTCATTTCTGGCCTTGGGGGGATTCAGTCCTGGTTGAAATACTCCCCCCGGGAGAGTTTGGCTTCAGGGACGTGCGTGAAGCTGTTTTAAATTCTTTTTATGCTTTTCGATACTGGGAGGAAGAAAAGGCAGTTTTGGGGCAGGAAGCACAGACGAATGGGAGAGAGCTAAAGGGGTCTTCAGGAGGAACACCCCAAAACCTGCCCCGGAGGGAGTGTTCCCATGGGAAATGGGGTGGGACATAACGCAGCATCTTCCTGCGTGTGGCAAAATGCCATCCTCCCTCTTTGCCATCCCGGGCCGCACTTTTCCCGAGGGTGGCTGAAACCGGGGGGGAAGGGGCAGGAATGGATGATGTGGGGCACCCCCAGGTGCGGTGGGACCCCTCCCCTGGCAGCGGGGGCACACGGGGCTGCAGCAGCTTCGGTGCCATCTCTCACCTCCTGGATTTTCCCGTAACGTTCCCGTTTCCGCCACTTGGCCCGGCGGTTCTGGAACCAAACCTGGCGGGTGGAGGAGGGGGCTGAGGTGCGGGGACCCTTCCCCTGGCCACCGCAGCCTCCTGCCAGGTCCGCTCTCCTCCCGGCAGCAGAAGGGGCCGGGCACGGTGTTGAGAGCCGGAGCCGAGCACAGGGAGCTGCTCTGTGCTCAGCTGGAGCTCTCTGGCCTTTCCCAACACCGGGAATATCTTGTCCCGCACCAAAAATGAACCGTCCCGCTCCCCTTTCCTCTCCCTGCTGCTTCTGGGACTTGTTTATCCCAGATTTTGCTGCAGAATGAGGTTTTGTGGGTGCAGATGTCCCCTCCGTGCTGGGGTGGGGACAACTCCAGCAGCACCTCCCGGAGCTTGGCTTGAAGCTCTCGTGGCTACAGGTGGTTTCATCTCAGTCCACCCCAAATCTGGGTAGGGAGGCTCCGGTGGGCTCCTGGGGACACTTCCCCTGCCTGTGCCTTGTCCCCGCTCCCGCTCCTGGGGATGGCAGCTCCCCGCGGGTGCTCCCTGCTCCCTTCCTCACCCTCCACCCCTCGTGTCCTCCCTGCTGGGAGCACCCTCAGGCTCCTCTTGCCACTCCAGCCTCATGGAGACACCCCTGGCAGCAGCTCCTGCAGGCGGATGCCGCCGAGCCGGGAGGGTCGGGCTCGTCCTGCCCCACATGGTGCCAGGCTGTGCCACCCCAGCCCCACCGCGCGGAGCTCCCGGGGATCCTCTCAGCACTGAGCTGGGAAGGGCGGGTGGGAATGATGGCTGCATGGGGGGCATCACCATCAGGGTATTCTGAGGGGGGGTGGTTGACACTGACCTCCCAAATTTTGGCTCTTTCCACCCTTTGGGTGCTTGTCCAGGGGGGAATGCAGAGGGTTCAGAGGCAACCAACACCCACACCACAGCAGAGGGTGCACAGGGTGCATGACCTGAATTTTCCATCTGGGATTTAGCATTTTCAAGGGAAAACCAGCTTCTATCTCAGCATCACCCTTGCAGACAGAGGAAGCCCCCGCTCCTGGCAGCCCCTGGGTGCCCATGCCCATCCCTCTGTGCCCATACCTGCACCCTGGCCTCGGTCAGGTCCGTGCGCAGTGCCAGCTGCTCCCGGGCATAGACATCAGGATAATGTGTCTTCTGGAAAACCTTCTCCAGCTCCTCCAGCTGGAACGTGCTGAAGGTCGTCCTGTTCCTCCTCTTCTTGCTCTTGCTCTTGCCCAGGGGCTCGGGGAGCTCGGGGATCCCGTAGTCCCGGAGGCTGCCCAGGGGTGCTGCCAGTGGGCACCCCAAGTCCTCCGGGGCTTTCAGGGGGACCCTGCAGGCTGCAGGAATCGCCTGGAACCCACCTTTGCAGCCCTTCTCACCTGGGGGGGAGAGGCACAGGACCAGGGGGTGTTAACAGTGCCAAGGAAGCCCAGAGCTGTCCGTGCCACAGCCCTGGCATCCCATCCCATCCCATCCCATCCCATCCCGTCCCGTCCCGTCCCGTCCCGTCCCGTCCCATATCCCTCATCCTGGGGGATGCTGAAGCACTGCCCCAGGAGCAAGGGCTCAGCATGGACACGCAGCAGGGCAAATCCATCCCTGAGAAGGGCAAAATCCACGCTCACTGTGGGAGCTGCAGGCAGGAAAAGCCTTTGGAGGGTGGGAGAAGCCTGGCTGGAGCAGCGGGGGCTCAGGGTCCCGCTGGGATGCTGTGACTGCGAGGGGATGGGGCAGAGGAGGTGGGCACTGGGGGGTTTGCAGACAGTTTATCCCACTCTCCTCGTCTCTCTCCTCGTCCCTCTCCTCGTCCCTCTCCTCGTCCCTCTCCTCCCGCACAGGCTGGTGCCTCAGCCCGGCTCAGAGCCCAGAGCAGAGCCACGTTGCCCAGCAGTGACCCCGAACCCACCCCTGCTCTGGGCCGTGTCCAGCCCCCCGTCCCCCAGACAGCTCAGGGCAGCTCTGTGCCCCTGAGCCAGCACTTCCCTGGAGCTGCAGCTCCCGGGAAAACTCTTGGAAAGGAGGAAAAAAATCCCGCCCTGCTTTTTCTGCTGAGGAAGAGCTCCCTTTCCTCATCCTCCTCTGGGACCAGAGCAAGAAATCTGGGGGGGTCCCCCCTTCCCTTGGGTGCTGCTGCATCTCTGGGGTGGATGATGCAATGGGATCAAGGAGGAAAATCCCTGCCACGCGTTTTGGGGGCCACCTCTGTACCCCCAGGAGGGTCATTTGTCCCCACATGGGGACACACAGAGCTTGGCAGCTCCAGATGATTCCGGGGGCTGTTGGGACCCCGCTGGGCTGAGCCAGGGAAAGGAGAAGTGAGTGGGGAATTAGCAGATGGGGAGGAGTGCCTGGGGTCCCCCGTCTGCTGAGGGGACACAGAGGTGTCACCTGGGTGACAAAAATGCTGCGTTTGCCCTGATCCCAGCCCAGCCACCAGCAGAGATTTGGGGGTTCTGCAGGTGGGGACCTCAGCGGGGCAGGATCAGACCCACGGCCAGGAGGGGAAATGCCTCCTTTGGGATGGATCCTCCTCCCCAGCACATCCCAACAGAGTGGGGAAATGGGGTCCCCATCCCTGTAGACCCCCCTGGGGCTCCCCAGAGCAGCCCCCACCACGGCCTTTTCCAGCCTTTCGGTTTGGATTTTTGGTTGTTTTCTAATTAAGGCAATTTGGGGGCTATGGAGCCGCCAAGCCCAGATCCAGCTGCTTTGAATTAATGAGGAATTGTAATTTGGGGGAGGTTTGGGGGGCGATTGCTCCTCGTCCCTCTCAGCACTGACCTGTCTGGTCATGGATAACGGCAAAGGAATGAGGCCAAATTGCCATTTCCTCCCTGCCTTGGCCTCCAAAGGCTGAGCTGCTGGGCTGGAGGGTTTTAATGATTCCAAACCAAATCCCACCAAAGAGCAGACCCAAATATAACCAAAATGAAGGAAAAAAACCCCGACCAAAATAAAATCCTGCTCCATAAAGCATCGAGTTTGGTTTTTCCCCCTTTTCTCAAGGGCAACGCGACGCATTTCCAAGTGACCCATGGGTTTTGGCGTTGGAGACAAATAAATAAATAGCCAGAAAGAAGGAAAAGGCAGGAAGGAGCGGGATACAGGCACGTAGCTAAATAAACGCAGCAGCACCGGGGGACAAAAGGAAAATATCGATATTTTTCTCCCACTCCTTCCTAAACTGACACCCCCCGAAAGATTTGGCGGCGCTGGGGAACGCGGCAGCTGGGAAACAGCTGTACAATTCCTGGGATAATGGGGAGGGGGAGGAACTCCAAAGGATCATTAGTGAAGGGATGGGGGCACGGAAAGGACTCCCAGGAACCGGGGGAAACACCCGTGGGTCGGCGGCATCCCCCGGAGCAGGTAAGCGCCGCGGCGGGGCCCTCCCGCTGCTCCCTGACCGCTTTTCCCGGCAGTTCTCGGGTTTTTTTTTCTACCTGTTCCCCGAGGCGGCTTTGCCCGGTGCCACCCGGTTCCCATCGCCCCCGCGGCTTTGCCTTTTGCTTCTTCTGTTAAAGCAGAAGCGGGGGATGACGCTAAAGCGAAAGTCCCGGAGCGGCCCCCGACGGGCCCGGCTGGGAGAGCGCAAAGAGCGGCGGGAGGAGGCCGGGAACGAGCTCGGTCCTGTCCGAGCCGGGGCACGGCTGCGGAGCCCCGGGACAGCCGGGCCGAGGGGAACCGGGTGCTCCGGAGCTCCGGACACGGCTACCGGGGAGACCCGGGGAACCGGGAGCGCCGCAGCCCGGTGCTGGGGAACGGGAGCGTCATTGCCCCGGGGCGAGGCACCGAGGAGTCGCAGGGAACCGGGAGCGCCGGAGCTGCGGACCGGGCACCGGGGAGCGCTGCCGGCCCCGCGGTCCGGCCTCCCGCAGGTCCCGGAGCCCGGGGTCCGCCCGTGCAGCCTCCTCCGGGGAGCGCGGCCGCTCTCCATCCCCAGGAACGGGGGCTCGGCTGCCCCAGCCCGGGCCGGTCCCCGCCGTCGCGGCAGCGGGGCCGCGTCTCTCCCGCCGCCTTTTCTCCCCTTTCCCCCGTCGGTTCTGGAGAACGGGAACCGGCCCGGAGCCCCCGCGCTCTGTCGCGACACAGTCCCAGCCGCCGACACCCGGCAGCACCGGCCCTTCCCTGCTCCGCTCCCGTCGGGGGACGCCCTGGCGGTCCCGACGGGGCCATATCGCGACATCGCCGCCTCGGAGAGCCCCGGGGCAGCGTGTCAGCGCAATGACGCTGCCGGGGGCTCAGGCTGGGGCTCCCGGCGGATCCCGAGCCCGCGGGCGGCGGACAGAGACGGGGCGAGAGAAGCAGGAGGGGCCGGGAGGGGTCGGCGGCCCCGGCCCCCCATCCACCCGCCGCTCCCCGGTACCTGCAGCCCCGGCCGGGCACAGCGGCTTCCCGAGCACGGCCACGGCGGGGGGGCCCGGGCCGGCCGCCCCCAGGCACCGCGGCGGCGGCGGGCAGCGGCCGGGCCGGGGGCTGAGCGGCGGCGGCCGCCGGGGCGGACCGAGCGCGAAGGCGGCGGGAGGCCGGGGGAGCCCCGGGGGACCCCCGGGCCGGCGAGGCGGGGGGAAGGCCGGGCAGCCCGGTGTCTCCATGGCGCAGGTTGCAGGGCACGGGGACGGGCGGCGGGAGCGGATTTTGTGCGGGGCAGCGGGAGGAGGGGGACGGGGGGGCGATGGGGAGGGAGGGATCGGCCCGCAGCCCCCCCAGCCCGCACCCCCCACCCGCCCCCAGCCCCGCAGCCAGTCCCGTGCGTCCTCCCAGCCCTCCTTAACCCTCTAATCCCAAATCCTGCCCCGCCGGGGACACCTTCCCGCGTGGGGCAGATCCCTTCAGCCTCAAGGCAGGGATCCCCCCTCGCTGCGCTCCCAGCTACAGCTGCAGAGCTCTTCTTCCATCGCAAACTTCATCCCTCGCTGCTGACAGCAGCACGAAATACCAGGCAGGGCAGAAACTTCCATCTCCCCGGCGCTCTCCGGGTTTCTTTGCCCCTTCACAAGCTCGGCAGAGTCCATTCGTAGCCTTCCCCTCCCCAGAGCCAGGGCTGAGGCCTGGCACGAGTTGCTTCAGGGATGATTGTGACCCTGGCACAGGGGATGCAGGGGTGATGGGGACCCCAGGACGTGGCACCCAGGATCCCACAGTGTCCCTGGAGCAGGCCAGGGGGATCCCAGCACCGGGGGGTCCCAGCCTGCTCCCCGAGTGTCCCCGCTAGTGCTTCCGCCCCCCAGGATTGGGATCCCCTCATCCCAGCTTGACTCTGGCTTTGGCATCAGAGCTTGGACTTCTTTATTCCCCCCTTTTCCTGCCTTTTGCTCCTCTGCTCCCCAGGCCTGGAGGTTTGGCTTGGTTGGGGGAGGACACACCTTTGGGGGTGTTTGTGTGCAAAATGAGGGGAAAGATCTGGAATTCAATGGCTTGGAGAAGGAACTGAATAAAGGGCCTGGAGAACTAAGCAGAAATCTGGGCTGAGGGGTGAAGTTTTACCCCCCATTTGCTGTTTTTCAACACTTTGAGTTTATTGTAGGGCACCAATCCTTGCTGCAGGTCTATGAAAAATCAACCTGCAGGTGTGGGGGCTGCAGGGAGGGGATGAACTGCAAGTGAGCAGCAAGAAGAGGTGGAGGGGAGCCCGGCAGATGCCAGATGTGTGATGTTAGGCAGCGGAACAAGCACCATAAATAACATTGCTGCTCTCATTGCTGGTGCCGGGGCAGGACTTTGTTACCCAGGCACAGTGAAAATCCGGAATCACAAGAAAATCTCATTTCAAAGAGTTTGTGATATAAATGTCACCTGTGTGTCTTGGCAGGGGTTGGGGATTGGTGTGTTGGTTGGGCACTGGAAAAGCTGTTGTTGCTGCGGGAGTGATGGATTTGTGGTGTAAATCACGGCTGCATTTTCCAGCCCTGCTCAGGGAAACTGCGTTTGTGAGAAATGCTGGGTTGTGATCCTGGACTCAGAATCGTTCTTTCAGAATCCTGTGAGGGGCTGGCTCTGCACAGAGGGGTCTGAGCATGCAACACTCCCTCTTTAAACATTATTTTCGCCTGAATCAAACCAGGATCAAAACAACTTTTTTTTTTTTTTTTTTTTTTTTTTTTTTTTTTTTTTGCCACTGCTGGTTGAAATTAAAATTTTTACACATTAATGTAGTGGCCTTTTGAGGACCTGCAGGAATAAATTAGTTTAAACTTCTTGGGCTGCTTTAAAAGAGGATCTGGCTCCCTCCTTGCAGGGTGAGCACCCTTTTATTGCCCGTGATGCTCCGTGGGCATCCCAAGCCTCCCCTGATACTTTCCCTTTGCAGCAGCTGGAGCTGCCAGGATTTTCCCTGTTCGACTGTCCACAGCCCACGGGGTGCTGTAAATTATGGCTAAACAGGGACTGGGAGGCCTCTGACTCACAACAGGTCAGGTCATTAAATATTATTAAACATAACATAACTCCTGGAAAGGATTATTAATTTGTTAAGGTTGCTCTCCCAGTTTTACTGCTGGCATTTAAAGGAATTTAATGGCAGAGGGATGAGTCCATCCACATGCGCTGGTTTTGGCTGTGCTGCTTTTCCAGGCTCCAGAGATTGCTGGGACCCTCCTGGGTGAGTGGGGAGGTCTCGGGCAGGTGGGATTTGGGGTGTTTGGAGCTGAAGGCAGCGTGAGGTTTGTGAGATTTTGGGGGGTTTGTGTTGGCTCCTGGAGCTGCTGAGGAATTTGGTTCTTCCAGTGGGCGGGGATGAGGACCAGGACCCCCAGGATCTCCTTCTGAACCTGCCACCAACCCTCTGCCCTGTTCTTCCCGTGTGTAGAGCCAGAGCAGGGTGCCTCGTTCTCCTGGCTTTGGGATGTATGTGCTGGGAGCTTTGGGATGGATGTGCTGGGAGCTTTGGGATGGATGTGCTGGGAGCTTTGGGATGGATGTGCTGGGAGCTTTGGGATG